CCATTTGGGACCGATGTGCAGGTGCATTATCATGCAGAAGGTACCAGTCTCCACTTTGCCACATCTGTGGCCATTTACGACGAATGGATTCCCTCAAACGACATAAAATGTCTAGATAATGCTCCTTGTTTACTGTTCTGCCTTCGGGAATAAATTCTGAATGAACAATTCCTTGAGAATCAAAAATCACCTCCATCATGACTTTCCCTTTGCTCCGAACCTGCCGGAATTTCTTCAATTGTGGTGAGGAGTTCGAGGGTGATTTCTATGTTGAAGAAGCATGTTTTCATTGGATATCAAATAAATAACACCACGTTTCATCATCTGTTATGATGTAGTTCAAAAAAGCTGGATCCTTATCAGCTTTGTTGATTAAATCATCCAATATTCTCATTTGTTCTTCCTTTTGTTCAGAAGTCAAAAGCCAAGGGACAATGTGCTGAGACACTCAGTGCATATTAAAATCTTCCATAAAAATACTCTGGCAACTAGTCTTTGATAAGTGAGTAGCCGCAGTGATTTTTTCAAGGGTTTGGCGACGATCTTTGCAAACACATTGAGAGACAACTCAACATTTTCCTCGTTCCGTGAAGTTGAAGGTTGGCCAAAGTGTTCATTGTCTTGCAATGGATTCTCGGCCCTCTTTAAAACGCCAATGCCATTTGTACACCTTTGATTTCGCCATGGTAGAATCACAGTACAGCTTTCTTAGCAATTTTAAAGTCTCCATAGGTGTTTTATCTAAACACTGACAAAATTTAATGTTGCAGTGCTGTTCTTGAAACTCCATTTTTATTACGTTGCAAAATAAAGGTAACTATCTCTGAAAGAAAACAACAGCGCTCACAGTTTAATCACGTGACATGGGCAAAACCACCCTGAACACATAGGGGTGGTTTGATAGAATCCATTTCATACGCTGTAACTTCAAATACATGCTTTTGTTGTCATACATTACTGCAGTCCCCAAATTTTTGGATCATACCACGTATAATATTTAGTAAAATCAGTGAAATAAAAAATTTGGCAACTTTTTGTGACATTGGATATCAGATATTTTGTGTAAGTACTTGCAATAAAGTTTCTAAGAAAAGTGATTACGAGCTTGCTGCAGCAATTGTGTTTGTGTATTAGTAAATAAATATATTGGTTGTCTTAATTATTGTGTATTCAGTATACTGTATTGAACAACATAGTTATGCAGCCCACCCTTGTTATTCTCTCAGTTATGTGGCCTGCTGTGAAAAAAGTTTGGTGACCCCTGGCCTAAATCAAAGTGGGTGGTGCTGGAATAATCACTTAGAGAAGTGTTTAAGTGAATCCAAACTGTTAGGATAGGTTGAGAAATGAAAAGTACAAAGATACATTAATAAAATAATATCTTTATTTTGCATGAAGTGTAACAGTTCTTTGGAATACCAGCTCTTCTCAGTCCCAGTATACAATTTTACAATATATATTGTACAAATGTTGAGAGAATAAACAGTTATTAGTACTACTATTGCGACACCAATAAACTATCAATATTTTTACAACAAATTTAAAACAAACTATGACTAAGCACTTACAACTAACTAAATCTAAGGAAGGAGGAAATCGGTAGACAGAAAAGAACAATAGAAGTAAGGATAGGTGAATGTGGGTACCCAATTTTTGATGGTGATCTTGGGGATGATGAAAATTCCAGATCCTTTCCTTTCTTAGGGATAATGGATAAATTCTGGTTTTCACTTAATTTGCTTTGATGGTGGTTGGGAGTCTCTATGATATCTCTTTACTGGACTTGCCTTGATTCTTGCTTAGGCCTCCTTTCGTCTCTAGTCATTGCCAAAAATGACCTAGAGTGCATCCTCTTACGTCCAATCTCTCTGACATACCAGAAGGAAGAATGTTAGTTGTTCTCCTAACATAGCCCTCAGGGTTTCCTTCATCTCTTTTGTTCAAAGGATTAGTCATCACCACCCAAGAAGAAAGAGTTAAGAAAGAACATTCTGGAAAGGATAGACAATGAAACTAAGAAGAAAGAAAGGATATAAAATTATTAATAAAATAAATATAAAATATGGCATATTTCCACAAAACTTTAAAAGTATGGCCAATCCATGTGTTCACTAANGACGATGGTGTTTGAAATGTCGAGCGTGATTCCACCGACTATCCAAACACCATTGTCAAACTTTTAGGCTTACGGGAAAGCGGCGCCGAACGTCACACGTACACGTTTACACGTTTAAAACGTGCGCCTCAACCTCTCTATTATTTATTATTAGTAAAACTATTTTTATATGATATTATATTATTTAGATTATGTATCAATAGATAATATCCTACACAAACATTCAATACGGACTTTCCGTATTACGATCCGGTCTAGAATAGCACCTCGATTACAGTTACCACGCGTTGTATTTTCGGTAGGACAGTCTTACAGTTAAAATAGATGTCTTTTGTCCTACGTTAATTGTCCTACTTTACATTTTTTAACAAAAAATCTTTAAGTTCAAAAATAAATCGTTTTAAAACATTAAAAAGAGAAACAAAGAACATTCAATTAATTTCTGAACGCACGTATTTTGTGAACACAATAAAAACCTACGTTAACAACAATATAAAATTCTAAATTTAATATAAAAATTATTTTAAAAAATAGTACCACAAAGCAGAATAGTTGTAAGCGTCAATCTTGCACAACTCTCTAGCAGCAAGTTTTTTTGTACTATCTGTCGAAAACGGTTTGTTCTATCTTTATCTGTTGTTGTATTACGTTTATTTGTGTAAAAATGTGTTGATTGTGTTTTGCGATTTTCTTTCGTTGAGTGCAACTGAGTGAAGAGCTTCTGGGACGGGCTAGATCTAATAAAAATTTCATGAAAAACATCATCAATGAGGATGAGAGATGTGTCGATGGGTTACGACATGAAAACAAAACGCCAGTCATCAGAATGGGTGAGAAAATCTTCACCACGACCAAAAACGCGCGATAAATTCAGTCGAATGTGAAGACCGCGTCTTGTTCACTGTTTTTTCGATTCCGAAGATGTTGTTCATCACGAATACTATCTGGAGGTAATAAAACATCTTCGTGTAGCAGTGTGAAAGAAAAGTACGACTGTTCGAAGAGAACGACATCGTGACAATGCACCCACCCACACAATGCACTGCTGATGACAGAATTTTTGGCCAAGAACTCGACGCCACTTGTTCCCACACTTTCACATTTACTGAACTAAGCCCAGAAATACTTATTTTTGTTTCCCAAATTAAAATCCGTTCTCAAAAGTCGCCGTTTTGAATCCATTGACATCATTAAAAAAATTCGCTGAACGGAGTGAGCGTCATCCCAAAAGAAGCGTTTCAGGAAGCGTTCTTTTCGTGGCAGAAATGCTGAATTCGGAGCTTAGACTCAGAAGGGGACTACTTCGAAGGCGACAAACTGGTTAGCTTTTAAGTAAATGCAAACAACTTCTATTTGCAAAATTCGTGAACTTTCCGGACTCGTAATTTCAGACATAATGAATAGACAATATATAGTATATCTGAATGTACGGTGTTATATTAAATTATTGATAATTGTCGCCTAAATTTCTCCGATCATAATTTTATTATTAATATACTTAATTTTCTTTTATAGTTCTCCTTTTTTCTGGTTGTCGATTTGTCTTGCATTGAGCATTTCAAAACGTGATAACCTTAACCTCTATATACACTAGATTTTCATTACATTAAAGAGTTGTCTTATATTTAACAGCATTCCCGACGATAATATATATCATATTTTGTTTAGATCAAATCTTTTCACATAAGGGCACACCAGTAGCCGAGTGAATAAAACTACTGAATAGTAGTTGAACGTGGGTTCGAGTCTGACCAACGAACTGTGAATGATAAAATACATTTAAAATCATTGAAATCAAATGTTTAACACAAAAAAGAGCGCTCCTTGTATTTTATTTTAAGATGTATGTTAAAATTCAGAAAGAATCTAATTCTTAACATACACCTTAAAATATAATACACGATAAATGTTAATATTTATTTACATTGATATCGTCACTTTATATTATTTAAAATTTTAGTTAATATTTGTTCAAGCTATTTCCGGCATTATTATCTACGATGAAGTCTGTTTGATATTCTAAGATAAATAAAGATGAACACATAAAACATTTATGCCGACATTTTATACAGAAACGAATGACTATTGCTTAATCAAAGCTTGAATATATATTTTAAAATTAAAATAAAATTTATTCAATTTTTTATTATTATTCAAAGAGAACAAAAAGAAAAAAAGTACAAAAATACATATACTTTTCCAATTTTAAGTTTTGTTTTTATCATTCTTGTATATCTACAAAAAAATCTACTCCAACAAATACTTTGCTGTTTTTTCATTGGTTTTCATTTGTTTGCTTATTTTTTTCTTTTCAACTCTTTCCGCCATGTGGGCACTAAGAAGGCCTCTTATAGCATGCCCTTTATGGGTTCGGCCAGGCCCACAATGGGGCGGACGAGTGGTGAGGGACGGGGGCCGACATATCCGGTCGGATCACCCCCGAAAAATTCCTGGGGATTTTTCGACCCGTCCGGATTTAGATTCCAGGCTCCCTAGAGTGGAAGGACCTTGACTACTCGGCCATCCGGCAGTCCACTTGTTTGCTTCTTATTGTATTGGGATTTTAATTTGGGTTTTTTCCTTGTTATTTGCAAATATGTGATCACTTCCCTTTGGCATTGCGTTTTGAAAAAATAAAAATAAAAACAAAAACTTTACATTCAGCAAGAGGACATGCCCGGAGAAAAGAGGACATACGGTGAGCCTACGCAATGTAAAAAATTAAGAAAAAGTAAAAAAAACAAAAAACACGAATAAATTATTATCTGTTAAAATATTAATTAATTATGTTTATTTTTATTTCATTTCAGCTTAATTACAAATGATATATTTTAAAATCAAACAATTACGTTAAATAAAACTTATAAAAATATTTAATATTTATAAATAGAAATAAGTGACATCTATCGGCGTTTTTCCATGCAGGAACTTGTGACTCGAAGTTGGCAGTAGAGTCTTCATTTCACTCACGAAAATGGTAAGAAAATGTCACTTTATAATACTGTACAATACGTTAATTACATTTTATAACGTTTATAATAAAGCTTATAGTTGTTATATAAGAGTTTAGAAGAATTAAATAATATATATTTATACATATAATATATATATAAACATATATTAATTAATATAAGTATTAAAAATGCAACACGCCCACTTGGTTTATCCTAATTCATGTCAATCCTTTTAATGTTAGTGGATGATACATTTAAACATACGTTCTTATCAAATTTTCTCTTTCATTTTTGTTTAAATTGAACTATTACGCTTTAATTTTTTATATGAGAATTTCCTGATTTTTCCTGTTAAAATCTACAATGTTGAGTAGAAGTAACCTTTACTTGTTTTGCATATAGACGTATGCATAGAGAGATAACTTAAAAGTAACTTTGTATCCTTTACAGGTTTATAACTAAAATTACTTCACTATGGATTGTTAANGTCACAGATAACATAATGAAAAATTTGAAGAGAAATGTAGAGGTTAAAATTATCAAATGAAAAGATTCACAATGTCTTTATATTTGATATAATGTGATTGCAGTAATTGATAATTTTACAAAACAGAAGTAAGAATATAAAATAGGATACAATTTATGGCAATTTTCTAATATGGCAAATACAGTGATAGAAATAATAGTTTAATTTTAAAGCCTCAAAGGCAATTAGTTATACTTTTTTTTACTACATGTATTCTTTCATATATTCTCCATTTTATTTTACACAAAAAGTAGAATTGTTTTTCTATATCTTATGTACTAAATTAAAATTAAATACAAAGAATAAAACAAGATGAATTTATTTCCTACTGGGCAAATATCAAATTATTTTTGTCTGAATTTTCAAGTTGAAATTCAAATAATTGGAACAATTCAAATAACAATTCTGGTGACTAGTCTTCCTGCAGTTGACATAGAATTGGATTGCATTATTACATCTTACAAACTTCTTTACATAGCCCAGAGTTGGCTAATTTTAGAGACTTATCACACCATACCATGTAGGTTAAGTGATGAAAGAGAGTCATAGATCAAGTGGAAAAGTATAAGCATTTTCAATAGCAATAAAGTCTGTTCCTTTCCACTTTATCTCTGACTCTTTTCCATCATATAATGTACAAAGTGTGATAAGCCTGTAAAATTAGTCAACACTGCACTACATTAAGAATTACTTGTTAATGGAAAGAAAATAAATATATGTGGAGAATTTAAAGTGACAACACTGTCAACCCCAAAAACAAAGGGTAAGGAAACAAAAGACATTGTCAGAAAACATTTTTGTGTTTGACTACCAACATGTATACATGTGTGTTCATCTTGTCCTACAGTTACCATAGTGTATATAGGCAAGTTAGTCTTAATGTTATAGACTCACAAATATAATAGAAGATTGGAGACTTTTATCATTATTCTACCAACAACAATAGTTATGGGCCCAGGAACTGCAAACTAAATATTGAAATATGAACTTTTCAACATAGAGAAAGTACATGTGCAAGACGGCCAGTCAACTAGCGATATGAATCAAGCCATTGTGTAAAGAGAACTTTGATATATAAAAGATACAGATGATGTCACTACTGATTAAAAATGATTCCTGGGAATATGTCAGCAGATAAAAGAAAACCAGAAATTATACCCGAAGATGACAGTATAAAAAAAAACAGCAGAACAAAGGGACTCTGCAGATTCAAAAGCAATGATGATATAATTCTTGCTATAAGCCCAGCAGAATTAAAATAGACAAAAGGATGTGAATTCTCAAATGAAATATGAAATAAGTTACATGAAATTTTTGAATTGAAAAGTTCTGCCAGGAAAGCAATTCTACTAAAGAAATTAATACTCAAGAAAATGAGGAGGAGGAGACAATATGACAGATTATGTAAGAGACTTTTTTGACATAGTAGATAAGTTAAAGGAAATGGAAATTTTTCTAAATGAAGAGTTATTAATGGTGCTACTGCTATATAGTATTCTGAACTTGTTTGACACAAAAGAAACTCCTTTCTCTGGATTTGCTAAAAATAAAGTGAGAAAATGAAATGACTGTACCAATGATTCAGACTTCAGGTGCATTATATATAAGCAAACAAAGAGTAAAACAATCAGAGAACAGAGGTCCACTTAAACTCAAATGCGATATTTGTGGAAATTTGGTCATAAAGTGAGAGCATTGTGATAGAAATAAACAAAAACTTATGCAGAGTCATGTAACGTGAACATCACAACAAAAGAATAGAGAGAATCAGAGATGGTGTTTAGATTCAGGTGCTTCTTCACATATGTGCTATGTGAAAGAGAGGTTTATCAACATTGAAACATTTCACTCAAGAGACTTGAACTCTACCAATTCTTCTACAACAGAAATGAAGGGAAGTGGTAATGTAGTGATTAAGACAAAGGATAGATTTAAAGCAAAATTAGAGAACACACTTCCTTATACTGGAGAAAAAAACCTATTGTCAGTAGAAATGATAAATGATCATGGCTTTAGTGTATTATTCCAAAAGAATCAGGCAGTCATCATGGACCCAAAAACCAAGAAAATTCACATACAAGCATATAAAGAGATGAGCTATATTATATGAAAGAAAGGTGAGAAGAATCTAAATTTTCTGGAACAAATATTATGGCAAATGAAATTATGGCACTAATGTTTAGGTCACCTGAATGAAAGAGATGTATGACACCTGGCTAATAACCTGAAGACTAATGGAGTAAAAATTGATCAAAAAGGACTTGATTCTCACAACAGACCAGATCACCATTCCAGAAAAAGAACAAGAGTTGTAAAGAAATATTGGAGGTCATACACACTGATATTTGCAAATTAATGAGAACTGCATGATTGAATGGGTCAAAATATTTTATCACATCTATTGATGATTAGTCTAGATGGTATGAAATATACTTAATGAAAAACAAAAGTGAGGCTCTTGAAAAACTCAAAACACCTAACCTTTGCCAAAAATAAGACATGAAGAAAAATTAAAGCTATAAGAAGTGACAATGGAACTGAATTTACAAGCAAAGAATTTGAAATCTTCCTAACATAAAAGGGAATAAGAAATGAAAAAACAACTTGTTATACACTCTCTATGCAATGCTGTTTTAGCATTGCATAGAGAAGAAATAGAACACTAGTGGAAATGGGAAGGTACATGTTACTCCAGGCAGGACTGAAAGAAAACATTTGGGCAGAGGCGGTCTACACTGCTTAGTACATTAGACATAGATGCCCATCGAAGAGCCTAGAAGGTAACATACACTTCAAACAATGGACAGGGAGAGTGCCAGCTATAAAATATTTCAGGACATTCAGTCAAGTAGCATTTGCTTTAGACAAACCAGGAAAAGGAAAGTTTCGTGAAAAATCTATCAAATGTATACTTATAGGATATTCAAGTGAGTCCAAGGTCTATTGTCTATGGGATATGAGAGCAAAATGAGTAATAATAAGCAGAGATGTAAAATTTATCAACAAATTCCCAAACAAACGAAATGATGACATTACAGTAATCAAAGATGACCAAGCCCATGAAAAAGAGAGAGGTGACTACAAAGAAATACATTTAGAAATCCTGAACTTAGCAAGGAAAAAGTAAAACTTGAACACACCTCATCCAAGAATGAAGATGAAACAAACGAAAATGAGCAGATCAGAACTGACAAGCAAGTGGAAGACCACGAATCACTCAGACCAAACAGAGGGGGAGACCTAGGAAGGAATATAGAATGAAAATTATGGAAGAATTGCCACACTCAGCAAAAAGAAAGCCATGACAATATACAACCTTTGATATACAAGAGAGCCATGGAATCAAATGACCCAGCCAAATGGCAAGTGGCCTTGGAAGAGGAAATGGAATCTTTAAGAAAACATAAAGTATGGAACTTAATGGATCTATCCGGAGGCATAACCCCTATCAAGTGCAAGTGAGTTTACAAAATTAAAGACAAGGATACAGAGAATAGGAAATATAAGACATGCTTAGTGGCAAAGGGCTTTTTGCAGCAAAGATTGATCAACTATAATAAGATATACTCTTCTGTATCAGATTTGACATAATAAGACTACTAACAGCTGTAGCAATAAAGAATAATTGATTTTTGGACTAATAGGATGATAAATCAGCATACTTACACAGCAAACTGAATGAAGAAATATATCTGGAGCAATCAGATGGATTCCGAAAGAAGGGCAAAGAGCATTTACATTGCAAACTTAATAAAGCAATCTATGGCCTAAAGCAGGGGTCCACAGGCTGGATCTGGCCCACCATCGCCCTGTGCCACAAATGAGCTAAAACATAATTATTTATATGGAAATATCTTAGATTGCAGATAAACTTACTATGTAGAAAAAAATTAAAATAAGTGTAAGTAAAAATGCCAAAATTGGTCCAATCTGATTTTTGCATCTGACAGTAATACATAGTACGATCCAAAAGTTCAGGGACTTGGCTTAAAATTCCTTACCTTAAAAAGTTTATATTGCTGATGCACAACCACTTTCAAAGTAATCACCTTGGACAATGATACACTTTTGCCAGCACTCGTATAACTTCTGGAAGCATTGCTGGAAGGCATTTTTTGAAACCTCCTGTAAGGCCTACTGTGATGCTGCTCTCACCTCATCTGATGACACAAAACGGCGTCCCTGCAAATGCTTTTTCATTGATGGAAACAAATAAAAATCACACGGGGCTAAGTCTGGTGAATAGGCAGGGTGTGAAAGTACATTTATTTGAGTTTTGGTGAGAAACTGTGTGACCATTTGGGACCGATGTGCAGGTGCATTATCATGCAGAAGGTACCAGTCTCCACTTTGCCACATCTGTGGCCATTTACGACGAATGGATTCCCTCAAACGACATAAAATGTCTAGATAATGCTCCTTGTTTACTGTTCTGCCTTCGGGAATAAATTCTGAATGAACAATTCCTTGAGAATCAAAAATCACCTCCATCATGAC